AGAATCATTACAGAATCTCCTTTATGAGTTGACTGAAATCTGCCCCAAAAATCCATTGAGTTCTCATCCCTGAATTTCCAACCAACACACTCCAAACTCCATCTATCAGAGTTCAGCATTCCTCCAATTTCCAGACTAAACTTCAGGTCAGTTGATATCTGGTTTCCTGCCTGCATTGTTCTTCAGTTTTAAAATGGATCCCTCTTTTATTGCTAAACGAATCCCTTCTAAGGTTACCTACTGACATAATGCACAGGCACACACAATGGTTTTATGTTTATTAGCTCATGTACCTCAGATGTGACAGAAAAAATAATAGAATAATACTCTTTTTCTTCTGAGACAGGGAATGCCACATTCCTGTACCTACAGTCCCTGAAAACTTACACCGTACCATTGCAGCTAATACTGGACTTGACAGATTAGAGTAACATCAGCAGGGATTTTATCCAAGGTGCAATTTTTCTAAAATAACCTTTCTGTTGAATGCAGTTCATTGTTCAGCACTGATGAAAATTCACAGACCAAAAAGAAGCTAATATTTCTACTTCCACCAAACACAAGTACAACATGGGAAAGAAGTGGTTGCAGAGCAGCCCTGCAGAGGGGGATCTGGGGGTGTTGGCCAGCAGGAGACTCAGTGGGAGTCACCATCGCACTGGCAGCCCAGAGGGCACCTCCCAACCTGGGGTACATCAAACACAGTGCACCCAGTCAGTCTTAAAAGGAAATTATTCTGCTGTGTTCAGTGTTGGTGCAGCCTCACTTGGAGCACTGTGTGCAGTGGCCTCACACAAATCAAGAAGTATGTGAAGGTTGTTTAATGTGTCCAAGGAGAGCAACAAAGCTGGTGAAATGGCTGGAAGGAATGTTCTGTGAGAAGTGTCTGAGGACTTAGGGTTTGTCTAGCTTGTAGAGAAGAAGGCTAAGGGGTGACCTCGTTGTTTCCTACAGCCTCTTGAAGAGGAGAAGTGGAGAGGGAGGTTTCCACTGTTGATCTGGTCTCTCTGGTATCCAGTGACAGGACATGTGGGAATAGCTCAAAGCTCCACCAGAGGAGTTTCAAACTGGATATCAGGAAGCTTCTCTTTCAAGAAAGGCTGTTCAAAGACTGGAACAGGCTTCCTAGAGAGAGATGGTTGATGCTCCAAGCTATCAATAGTTAACAGGCTTTTCAACTGTGCCCTTAATGACATGCTGTAGCTTTTGGACAGCCCTGAAGTGGTCAGGCAGTTGAACTGATAGATTGTTGTCTCTTCCAGCTGAGATATTCTAGTCTATTTATTTTATTCTATTCTATTAGCTGCACAGCAGAGCAATTGTTTATTTGTATCCACCTAAATGCTCTCTGTCATGAGTTTTCCCAGAAAGAGAGCCACACCAACTTGAAAAAAGTCTAGAGGCAATTTCAGAGCAGCTCCAATTCCTCTGCAAAGGAAAGCAACAAAAGGGTTACTCTGCCACGCCTTGTTTCACACACACATAAAAGGCGGTATATCACTCTGTCAGAAACAAAACGCCTGTGTTCAGGACAAGGATCTGGCCTGGCTATTTTACAGCTCTGCCAATCCCACAGCTCGCAGCTCAGCAAGCTTACTCATTTCCACGGCTGCACCTGGCACCCAAAAAGTTAAACAACCTGGCTACACCAGCAAAGGGGAAAAAACAAACAAAACCAAAAAAAATTCAGGCAAGCAGCAAATAGAAGAATGCATATAAGGGAAAGAGCTGAACAGAGAAAGATAAGGAAAAAGCAGTTAAGTGAGAGAGAGGAGGAAAAGCAAAAGAAAGGGAGGGATTATTCCTTCTTGAATTTGTTTAAGGTGCATGACAGGAGGCATGGAGAATCAAAAACATAGTTAGCCCACACAGGAACAACAATGACCCCATTTTTAGAATGCCAAGTGTTTGCTTATAGTATCAAATCCTGGTGCTAATCTATTCTCCTCAGTCAGAGCATTTTTGCCTGAAAAAAAAAAAAAAGTGCAGGTGCTTGGTCCTGTGAACACTTCGAAGCTGGTGACTGTGCCTATTGCAATTCTTCCAGTCTCAAGAGCTGTCTGGGGCTTAGAAACCTACATCACAGTAGATAATTTTTTACATATTATGCATTATCCATTATCTATTTTGAATAAATAAATTCTATTTTGATATATCCATGCACTGCCCTGATACTGTTTTTTACTGTGATCTTTTCCCAAAAAATGAGCGGCATCTGTGACCACAGTGCAGTAAAGGCTCTTTAAACAATGCAGAAAAGATTAATGACATAATCTCAAACAATGCAAAATAATTGTATAATAGCTTCACATGACTATAAATGAATTTCAACATTTCATTACTAAGAATATACATTGGGTTTTCCACCTTAACAGCATTTGCTAGGTTCCACACCTGTCTCATTTGGTTGAATCACTTGTGGGGAAAAAGAAACTATTCTAGAAAAAACAACAACAAAAAAACAAAAAACATATTGTTGTAAAGTTAACCTTGCTTTTTTAAGAAGCAGAGATGGACTCTGCTGTTCTGACCAAGCATGTCCTTCTCCTCCACCCCAGGGAAGCCAGAAGTTTCCTGGCACTGCTGTAAGGAAGATTAGTCAGCACGAATAGGGAGCGGCAGTCAGAGCTGGGGGCAAGGAGTCACCAAGATCCAGCCACTATGGCAAGGGTGGGATAGTAACTCGCTAGAACACCCATGCTTATAGCTGTTATTCCTGAGAGCAAACACTCTCCCTCCTGACAAAAATTAGGCTGTTATAGATGTTCATTAATTCACCGTTAAAAGTTTATCAAGAGAATTTAGACAGATGTTTGTATTTTGAGACAACAGCAACCTGCTTCATACCTCACACCTTGAAAGGCCCTCTCCTCACCAGGCACTAAGAAGGGCTCAGCTGCTTTCATGGTTTGAAAAACAAAGATTAACTTTCTCTTTGTTCTGCAGTGTTGGGGAACTTTGAATTGCTGCTGTCCCCAGCAGGAAAAATCTAATGCTCAATGGATCCTCCCATGCAATCTGATTGTAGGGACAGAAGTGTGGCCTGGTTGTTGGAAGAGGAGTGTTTAGCTGCTGCCAGGTTAAAGTGGGAGAAAGGCAGAAAGAAATTCAGCTTCAGTGGTTGCTGACACACTTACTAGCTATTTTAAAACAAAATTGATACTGTTTGACATTCTTTTCGTAACAGCAGGTGAATTATTTTTGTAAAATAGGAATAACAGAAGTTTTTTATACAAGGCAGCCAAGTTAAAGAGAAAAAAAAAACAAACAACCTTTTGGTGATAGCTGAGATTCTTGTAGGATGTCCAAGACACATAGCTGGCCCACACTTTAGCTATAAGCAACTGAAGAACAGACATCTAAGTTCTGGCAAGGTAATTTGCGGAAGAGGTCCTGTACTATTGAGCTCTGGGAAAAGATTATTCTACTCATTTCTCCTGTAAGCACATGTGACTTCAAAGGGAAGTCAATGCTAAGGAGCTAAGGATTTTTCAGAAGGAATTAATTTAGATTTTTACTCCACCATATCAACATTTAAAGTTGACAAATAGTTGTATATATATATATATATATATATATATATATATATATACATATATATACTATCCTCTCATTACAAGTGTGCTGGATAGACAGTGAAAAGCTATTTTAGAATTCCACAAAGCAACCTGCAGATTGAAAAGAAAGTTGCAATACAAGGTTCTTCTCTTACAGCCTTTTGATGAAAAAAAATACTTAAACATCAGTCTAGGAAACATAATATACATCTGAAAACAGAATCTACTTCTAAATCGCCAGATTAAAAGGGTTGTAATATGAATGGTCTTCGAGACATGCTCTGCCTCATTTATCTCAAACAGGAATAGCTAAAAGAAAACTTCATAGTCCTTCTATTACCATTAGCTGCAGTAGCTACAATGGCTGTTAAACCTGGGCCAAAATACCTCCCTGTCCTCGAGAGCCTGAAGATCTTCGCAAGACCTGTGCACAGTTCTGTGTGGTTATACAGTGACCAGTCCAGCACAGTGACAGAACAAAGGCATACAAAAGCCCTTAAACACGTGCATTTCACATATATTGGCTCGTTTATGCCTTTTGTTTTCTTTAAATTAAGACAACTATTTTTATGCAGGAGTATCAGCAAACTCTGTAAATTGGGATATTCTAAGTAAGTAATGCAAACAGATATATGTCACTTCAGAAAAACTTTTGAGGTAAAACTCTTCCCCTCATGATGGCCATGGAAATTATAATTTTTGCAACTGATATTTAATTATTTATTGTGCATTGTTACAACATGCAGCAAAGGTACATAATGTGATTGGAAGGACTCCCGTAAGGCTGGTTCCCCTCTCCGACCCCAGTAGTATGACAACCAGCAGGTTCTGGAGTTACTTACCACAACTGAGTGTGATCCTGGCAAGATTAACTAGGCAACCGCCTCAATGAAGAGAGGATGTACAGAAAGCACGTTTAATTGTTTCGCCATCATGAAGAATCAGATACGCCTTCGTAAGCATCAATTACTCAGGTGTATCCAGGAAAGATCTCTGCCAGATAAGAGCAGGAAGAATATGGCTCGGAGCGCATAAAAAAATGAGGATTACAGGGAAGGTTGTCCTAAAAACGCTCACGATTTTATTTGCCCATGAGACTGCGCTCCCCCCCAACCAATTACTCGTTTATTGTTTGTAATAACTCTGAGAGCCTCCTAGCACGCTCCAGCTCGCCTTCCTCGGCGGAAGCGGGGCGAACAAACCGCAAACTCCGGGAGTCCTGGGGAGCGGAGCCTGGCGCTCCGAGCGCTGCCCTGTGCAGCCCCCGCGGGCGGAGCTCGCTCGGCGCGGCACGGACGGGACTCGCCGCCGCGGGCCGGGCGGGGCTCGGGGCCGCCTGCCTCTTGCGCCCTCCCGGCGCGGATCCCGCCCGGCACACTCCACCCACCCGAGGCTACTTGTGCCCCCTGCACGGGCCGCCGGCATTCCCGGCTTGGGCGGCAGGAGGAGCTCAGCCCGGCCCAGCTCGGAGGTCATGCCGCGGGGCCCCGGGGCGGCGGTGCGGCTGCTGGCGCTGCTGGTGAGTGCGGGGTGCTGCTTTGCCGTGGAGCTCCCTCGGTACCGGGGCGCTCCCTCGGTACCGGGGCGCTGCTCTTCTGCGGGATGCAGCCGCCGGGGTCCCGAGTGCGGCCGCCGGAGAGAAGTGCTCCCGTCGGGACTCGGCAGCCCTCCCAACGCCGGCTGCCTGTGGCTGGGAATGGGTTTTCTCTTTGGGAATTAGATAAAACCATCGCCCTTTGCTACCTGAAAGCAGGTGGAGGTAGGAAGTCCCAGCAGGAACGGTATCTGGGATGGGTGGGGTTGCTGAGGCGCCGCGAGGAACAGGAAGGCAGCGAGGAGTTCACATTGTTGCCGTCTTAATGTTCAACATACTCTCTATACTAGTAAATTGCACTTCAATTCTGAGGGGACAACGCTAGCAGGAAGATGAAGCAAAAAGTTTGGAAGTCTTTATCGCCTTAGAAGAATTGCACCAAATTCTTAATAATCCAGGAGACTTCAGGCTTTGTCCTGCCCTTCCCTCACTGTATTTCAGCCATCAGCCTTTAGATCTTCCATCCTATAGAATACTTTCTCAGGCTGAAAGCAAAGACTGTCTCATAACAAACTGAGAACGAAACTCTTGGTTTGTTGGATTTGGACTGATGCTTTCTAGCTCTTTCTACCTGGTTTACAGCAAACTCTTCGTTGTATCTGCGGCATTTTCTTTTGCTTTTCACCTTTCCAGGCTGGCAGAATGCCCTGCGGAAGTTGGGCTGCCGCCACTCCATGGTGAGGGTGGCGGCCGTGCCCTGGGCTGTGCCGGGAGCTGCCGGGCAGGGATCTGTAAGGACTTGTTGCATGGACAGAATGGAAGGTGCTGGGGGTCGGGACCTTGTTCCCTGGGCTCGGGAACCTGCAAAATCGGATTTGTTATCTGGAGACCTGTTGCCTGATAACTTTAATACTGATGTATGGTTGTGGATAAGTTGGCCAGCAACAGTTAAACCTGTTTTTACAGCAAGTAAAAGCAAGTGGTTGAGGGTTGGTTGGAAAATGTTTTATCGTCATTTTGTCCCAATTAACGATGGAAAATGTGGAGTTCCACTTGTGCAAAAGGTTTTATGTATTCTGTCTGCAATACCTGAAGCCACACCATCATCCATTTTGATGGGCTTGTGCTGGCTCAGGATGCTGATAGTTTTTCCTGAAGAACATTATTTTTCTCTATCGTCATTATCCTCAGTTTCAGCTAAGGATGGGTCCAGATATGACGTACTGAGAGTCAAGTCAGTTTGGCCTAAAAGACTCATTGTTGAGTAGAATATTAGAGTGAATAAACCTTCCTTAGTTGGAGGATGCCAGAAGAGAAAGAGAGGCACTGCTGGGTTTTGAAATTTTGTTGGCTTTTTTTTTCTGTTCTAGGTATTCATATGGCAAAAAGTCAAGTTTCTTATTTGAGAGTATTGGAGTAGGGTAATTTATTTCTTATGAATCTTAAGAAACTACTTAAAAACAAAATTAGTCTAAGAGTAGTGTCTTCTCAAAGCATCTTCTACCTTAGAAGCATCAGGAATGGTAGGTTCTTCCTCTCTCAGTTTTTCCTGGAAGTATCTCTCAGTGCTCCCTCCCTGCCTGCAGGCTGCTTCCCTGTATCATCATCCCTAGGTACCTTGTAGAGGTCACGACAGATTTCCCCAGGCCCCTGCCTTCGACCCTTTTCCAGGAGTGTTTGGCTGTGCTGAATACTGGTGCACCCAAAGGGTTGGGCTTGACTTGGAGTATGTCCAGGGCACACACCCAGAACCATGGGCCTGCTGGGCGGGCACAGCTATCGAGGATTATTAGACTGGGAGGTTTCCCGGTCATTTCTGAAGGGGGTGGACATCATGTCTTCAAGAGAAGAAGTCTTGGAACATTTCCTGCATTTGAGTGAAAGAATAGTTGACAGAGATGTATGAATCTTACTATGAGAGCAGCAGAATTTACCTTTTCTCTGAATGTCTTCCTCAGATTGTACTTCATTGATGTTTGGGATGTTAGACTTAGGCTGGGTATGATGAAAATCTGGCCTGAATATATTAGATCACTGCTGTAATGTCAGAGTCAATAGCAGTTAATTTTCAGAAGTCATAGAAACAAGATAAATAAAAACCATCACAAAGTGATGTTTGATTTTATGAAGAGCAGAGGTGAGCTAATTCAAAGCAACCTAGCTTCTGTTGCCAGTAACATGTTGAAACGTGGTAGAAGTATTTACAAGCATCTGTGGATTGATTCAACATTTTAATATTGTTCCAAAAATGAGGGAAAACCCAGCTGTGGTGAGGTCTGAAAGCAGCTGAGAAATATATAAGGTCTAGTACTTTATCCATCCCATTGAACTGAAGTGGTACATTACTTTTGATACCAGATTTCAGAAAAAAAAGGAATCTATCCAGGACAGACTACAGACCAGTAAAAAAATGCAATCTGAAGTCACAAAATCCTGTTTTATGGTTGTTTTAAGGGGTACTAAAGAACTGGTATGTGAGAAAAAACAGTGAGTAAGATGTTTGATAAGTTTGCAGATACCTGAAGGGTGGAAGAAAAGAGAATTGAGAAAAGGGAATTGCACCATATAATGAGAGCATTGTCGACATGACAAAGGAGATTAGTTTTGAGGCTAAGACATCTCAGTGTAGATGTTTGTTTCTGTTAAGGTATAAGGAGATGCAGTGGATACTGAGTCCACCTGTTTGATTAAATCAGACTGTACTTTTGAAGAAAATCTCAAGAGTGTGTGACTCGTATCCCTCCTGGGTGAAACCATGTTGGGAGATGCATCCATCTTGTAGATGTTTGATCTGTGGGAACAAGCTAATTCTAGTCTGAAGGATCCATCAGAACATGAGTTGTGTAGTGTTGGGTTCTCTGCATTAGATGCTTTGCTCTACAAATCCTCCTGTGTTGGGTTTACAGTACATAATTGCACATACTTACAATCAGTCGAGCTCAGAGAGAAATAAATATGGACTGGTTTGGGCGCGAGTTGAACAGCTCTCTCCGATCTCTGTTGGTATTGGCTTTATTTCTGCTGGTCATAATGAAAGTTTAGGCACTTAGCTTTCATTTAGATACATAAATTTGTGTGCCTTACTCTGAATATCATGCAAGCAGCAATATGGTCAACTTGCAAGGAGCTAAAAATTAGGATAAAAAAATGAAGATGAAAATTAACAGCCTTTTCATCTGTAGGACTACCTAGGCTTCCCCTTAGGTTAGTGAGGCTGAGGGACCTCCATCCCTCATTTTTAAGAACAGGATAAACAGTTGTCCAGAAGTATTTGGGTGTAGTTTGTTTTTTCTCAGGGCCAGAAGATGTACTAGTAGATGACCTTGGTTGGTTCCCCCTGCTTGCTTCTCTGAGGTCTTCACTTGTCTTCATCACCAAACTGACTCACAGGAGTGCAAGCTCCAAATCTAAGACACAGCACACGGAAAAGACCACATTTCTAGGCACTGCTGTTTCATGATGTAGTAAATACAGACACATACCTTCTTGTTTACTCAGTCTTTATAGCTTTACAGCTTAAATCTGAGCTTTGTGTTGAAAATCTGTCCTTTAGTCACTTCCTGACTGATGAACAAGGATTTGTGCAAGAGCAGCCTGGCAGTCACTCCCTTCTTTCCCATGCCTTCTTGCCTATTCCTGCTGTTTTCCTGTAGTATTTCATTCCAATTTCATTACTTCAGGACTCAGACTTTTTTTTTTCTTGTAACTATCCAGTTTTCTTCTGACAAAGTGTTCTCAGCTCTGGTCAACAGGTGTTATCAGTAGATGTCTTGTTTTTTGAGCCAAGGCTATGATCCACAGCAAATGACAGAGCTTACCTACTCTGAGCCATTTAACAGCTGTAAGATACTAAAAAAAAAAAAGTGGGGGGAGGGGGAAATTCACATGTTCAACAGGCAGTAAATTCTGACATTTCACTTGTTTTTGAAGAAAATGTCACTGAAAAGTGCTTTTCCCCCTATTTAAAATTTTTGGAACCTTTAAAAATTTTTAATAAAAAGGCTGGATCCCTTTATGTATTTTTTCTCCTTGTATTTATGCATCTTGTAAACAAAATTGTCGTTCTTAAACATTTTCTGTAGATATCTCCTAAGTCCCTTATGAGGCTACCTGTGGACTGTAGATTGAATAATACCAGAGCAAAAGTATTTTTTACTACCTTAGCATTAACCTAGAATGTTTTGAGGGACATTTGCTACCATGCAAACAAATTGATTTTTAGTTATCTTAATGAAAGATGTTCTTTTTATTATGACTACTGCAATTTTTTACACATTTTTGACACACATCTCAGTGGAAGATCTGCTTATTCTTGGTCTTCAGACACTTTTGTTTATACTGGGTTCTTGGGTTTCCAATACAATGAAACTTCACATGCCTCTTGTCTCCATTCAGTTTTGAGACAGAAACAGTTTTCCCTCCAGTTTACCAGTTAGAACAACCAGGGATGTTTCAGATGACATCTTGACAATTATTCACCTTCCAAAAGAGCAGCAGCTTCTGTGGAAAACCTTGACTATAAAGCAAAATTCTCCTGTCACTCTTGCTGGTATAACCTCATTAGCCATGAAAATAAATTTTGAAAATCCATACAATTAGTAAAATCAAGTAAGACTAATAACATCCATGAAAACAGCTTGGTGTGAGATCCTGTACTCTTCATGATGTATATCCATTAGGAAACTTACTGCTTGATAATTTTTGTCTTCAGAATATATATGTTGGGAAAAATACCATTTGACAAACAGTTTTGTTGAACAAGTTGAAACAGAAATCTGCTGTATTGCTCAACACGGTCTGCTGGATTGTGTGGGTTCAAGATAACTTTTTTTTTAAAAAAAAAGAAGCTGTTATCAATTCAGTCATCAAGGCTGAGTCAGAGGGAGGACTAGGGAGAGCCCAGTGAACAGACTAGAAACCAGTCAGAGACTGACTTATTTGAGTAGAAAACCACCTTTTCTGAGCCTGCTTTGCCTTAGGGAGTAGTATGCCTAAGAAAATAATCACCCAAGTTGCAAAATATAAGTAGTAATAGTTTTCAGAACAGTAACAGTATTTGCAACTTGTACAAAGTTCAAAAGCTTGATTTGTAGGTTTCCCATGTTGTAATAGCCTACTTTTTATTGTTGCTGCTTCCTAATACCTACATTTTTTTTGCAGTTTGAGGGGTGTTGTTACTTGCAGAGTCTTTGGTGCCTGGAGAGTGGACATAAACATGGGGTCTCTGATAAGTGGGCTTCTTCCCCCCAGGGTTTGTCACCTAACTGAACCATTCAAGGCCATGCATAGCTGTCCTGGCCTATCCTGGTATGTGAAGAGGTGGGCAGTACTGAATATTCAGTATTTAGAACTTTGCAGCTAGCCTGCAAGGTTTTGTCAGAGCAAGCACCTCTGCCTTGTTTAAATAAGTGATGCCCTTTATCCCTCCCAGCAAGGTTCTGAGTAAGAGAGCTGCTTCTGTCATGTACACTTCAGCAGATGTTTGGGATTAGTCCTTACCTTTAAACACCATTTATCAGATTTTTTTCTCTAGTGTGATTGGTAGACCACCACAGCCACAAATCCAAGGCTTGCCCAGAAGAGGGCAAAGTGCTGCCAGCAACCAACACTTGTTTCCATCAGTGGCACATCCTCATCGTTTTGGAGTACTGAAGCATTATTCAGCACTAAAAACCATGGTTGTTTAAAAACTACTATGAAGTCTGAATTTATTAGAAAAAAATATTAATTGCTTATAATCTGGAAATTATAGGATAAAGGTGCCAAAGTTAATTATTATGTAGTTAGAGTGTATGTTTTTAATGTCAATGGTTATGGGTGAATTTTTTCAGAAGCCGTTACAGGTAGATAATAAATATGAATATATACAGGTCAGATTGTGGCTTTGCTGCTCTTATGAAGCAGGTCACAAAAGTTAAGTTTTAGTACTGCTGAAGTGACACGGAATTAACAATGACTATCATAACTTCCATTGCAGATCTGTTTGAATTATGGACATGGGCTGTACGTGAAGGTAGGATATAATGGAAAGATTTTTCTTCATCAGTGCCTGTGGAAGGGTTCTCTGAGCAACATGTCAAAGCCATGCCTTATTTCAGTTGATAAATGTCTTGAATTCTACCGTTTTCTGAAATGTGAAAGCTGCATAATGAATAGAGAAATGGAAGCTGGAAAGTAAGTGAATAGATTCCTACATCCATCACCGAGAGTGGCATTGAACTTTGAGAAACTTCCCCTAACACAGTAAAAATGTAGATTGATTTTTTGAACCCAGTAGATGAAAAACCACTGTTTTATTGAATATGTTAATCTGGGAGTCAACAGAGACAGTAGAAACTAAAGTGGACAGAAGGATGAGGGGTGTCATGCAGATTGAGAATGAGGTGTAGTTAAATGGGGATAGCAGAGACATTGGGTGAATTGAACAGAGGCCTGCTCTCCATGTATTGTTTCAGAGAAAAGGTTAAATATGCAAGGCAGTATTGGTGGGAAGATAAACACAGTGGTAAGGCAGAAATGGTGGTTCAAAACAGCCTTAGTGCCAAACTTCTTCCCACATCTGATGACAAACATTTAAATCCTCCAGAGCAGGTGCATTTTCACCAGCCACTGTCCATGAAAACTTGCTCATACTTTTAAGGCCTGTCTTGCCTTATTCTGTATTAATGAAAAGACCAGTGCAGTTTTCCTCTTCAACCAGTTTGAGGACTGCATAGCTCTCAGATTGTGACTCAGAAGGGTGGTGCTGCTCCATGATTTTGAAGTTACTAGCTATTGAAAGAGCAAAAGTTGCTCATAAGTCTTGGCTACAGCAGCAATAAAACGTTTATCTGAAATGACTAAATGTAATGCTGACATTCCATCTTGTCTTTTCACAGGTTTATAATCGAAATGACAGGAGTGGCGTTTTGTCTCATCCCAACAGCCTAGTCAGACAGAAGCGAGAATGGACAGTCCCTCCAGCTTTCATACGGGAAGAGGAGGACAATTCCTATAAGAATCCAATTGCTAGAGTAAGCCCAGAAAACATTTTAATATGCAGTACACATAAAAATAGAAATGAAAATGTAAAATAAGAGTGTAGCTTCCCTAAACACGTGCACAAATATTTCTTTAATTTTAAAGGGCTATTGAACGCCATTTGGAAATTGACACATTTCCTTCTGTTTCCTTTTCTTTTAAAGCCTCGTTTGGCTCAGTCACTCATCTTTTCATAGCCCCATTTTTCATTAAGCTTTGGGGAATACAGTATCTTTGAGGTTTTTTTTCTCCACCACCCATACTCAGATGGGGTTAAGCTTGACAAGCGGGTCCCAGGTCTGCTAGTGGTGATTGAGCAGAAGCATGAATATGTATACCTAGTCATTTAGGAAACAGTGCTAAAAATAACCATGGTGTTACCCTTTGTGAAAGAGTGATATGTGTCTGGTTCAGTGCCAGTGTTGAAACCTAAATTCACCACTCCTGCCATTTCAGCATATAAAATGACTGCAGGTGGTGGCAAGATGTTTCCCTCTGCTTGGGCTGCCCCTTGATGGTGATACTGGCACAATGCACACTTCTCCAGATGTTTTGAATATCTGCTGACAGCAGAGAACGGGTGTAATCTCTAGTCTCTGCAGCCTCTTCTATGTGTTCATCTCCAGGTCTGACCTTTTTTTCCTCCACCCTGTCCCTTCTCCAGTCCTGGTATTTTCACTAGCTTAGGTCTGACTTCCCAGGTCAGCTCCTGGATCCAGATGTTTCTCATCTCCCTGCACCAGACTATCAAACAGAACGTGCAGCCCTTCCTGCATTCTCTAGATCTCCACAGTCAAAGGAGCGTAGGAAAATGTGTTTGTTCATTACAAGATGGAAAAAATATTTTGTTGCACTTTTAAATGTAATTTTATATACTGAGTGGTATTTAATTTGCTATATTCCTACTAGATACATTCAGATCTTGAAGATACAGGAATAGTAGTAACATACACTATATCTGGTCAAGGAGTAACAGAACCCCCTTATGGATTATTTGTTATCAATGGAAAGACTGGCGACCTGAACATAACAGGAAGGGTGGACAGAGAAAAGACTCCAATTCTTCTTGTAAGTTGAAAATTATATTTTTTCGCTTTTCCTCCTATCCATTTTTTATTTATTTCCTTTAAATGTGTCTGCTTGAAATAATACATATATATAATGCATTTCTGGTTATTTGTGTATACCTGCTTGTATTTGTAAGTATATATAATAAGCCTTTATAGTACTTATACTTTGTTATATATAATGGGTGTATTTCTGTTTTGCATATGTGTTTGTATATATGACAGTCACTCATTGGATTGGTTTATTGTTTCTCTCTGTATTATCAGGTCCGAGGCCACGCACTAGATAAGAATGGGGCAAAACTGGAAGAGCCAATAGACCTCCCAATTAAAGTTGTGGACATAAATGACAATTTTCCAGTGTTTTCACATGAAGTTTTTGTTGGTTCAGTAGAAGAATTAAGCGAAGCAGGTAACTTTATTTTTTTTTTCTTTTAGCTTTTCCCAAGATATGCAAGGGGACAAGTGAATATGCACTTTGGAGCAGCATATCTGCAGTAACAGGCACATTTTCTTGCTGACATAAGCCAGGTTATCCATGTGTGAATGAAGGTTTTTATTCAAGGCTAAGCTGCACTGTGTGATTAAGGAAGAGCATCCCCCTAGGGGCAAGAGAGAACAGTATTCCCTCTTGTGGCACCTTTGGTTTGTTGTCAGAGCTACCACAAATCCAGGAACCAAAGTTCTTCTGCAGGAATTGCACAGGAAATGCAATCTGCCTTCTGGCCTAGTAGTCACAGCCTGTTTGGGAGAGATTTCAGTCTGCCATCCTCATCCAAAGCCCTGCTTTGTCTGTGGGCTGGAGAGGTACTTTGCTGGTAAGCACATATGGCTGTGCCACAACCATTGAAGAACAAGTTAATGGCCATTTTCCTATTGACATCAGTAAACATAAGAGCAACAGATTATTTTCAAGAAGATTAGAAAAGCTGGTATAAAACGACCTAATAAATAGCTGGCAATGTGTCTGTTTTAATGTCACTATAACCTGAAGAAACAAATTCTTGCCCATCCACTTGGGTGAGGTATTGAGTAACCTCAGCAATCTTTCAAGTCAATAGCAGTCATATGTAATGGCTCTGGGCATGATTTCCAGCTAATGTTAAAACTTAGGCTCTGTATGCTGAAGTACACCCTTTCCCAAAGAACAAGACCCCCTGCCAAATTGTAAGGGGATTGCACCATGGGTACCACCACGTATATTGAGTGAAGCTGTTGGAAGGCATCAAAACAGATCAGTGGTTTTAGTAATGTTCAGGTAAAGGAATAATTAATGCTCTCTTTAGAATAATGTGTGAGAGACACGTAGCTCTTTGTTCAAAAGCTTGCATTTTCTGCTCTGTGGGGTATCTATAATTTTCTGTCAGATTTACTGAGAAAATTTAACCTGTTGTTTAATTTGTGTATTGAATTCTGTGAGTTACAGATGTGTGGATACAATTTTTTTCACGGCTAGAACATATACTTTTAACACATACCTTTTGGGCTTAAGAGCACTTCTTCAACTTCATGCATTAAATAAATAAAGTCAGGAGCATCAGAAAATTGTCCAGTGCATCTAACAAAATGATCTTATCTTTGATATTACAGTAGAAATACTTACCAGTACATTGTGGTGCATATTGTGTTTTCCAGGTACAATTGTAATGAGGATAAATGCAACAGATGCAGATGAACCAAATAATCTAAATTCCAAAATTGCTTTCAGGATTGTTTCCCAAAGCCCTAGCGATGCATTCAGCATGGATAAGAATACTGGCGAGGTTCGAGTAGCAAAAATAAACCTTGACAGAGAGGTAAAAAACCCCTCCAGTTCTGGTGTTTGTTAGTAGTGGTTTTCTGATGCTCATTGTGTCACCCTCAGCCCTGCCTGCAGGATGAAGAGCCGGCCCTCTCACCTTTCTTAATTTCCCTTGGGATTAAAGCCTTGTCTGGCTGATGCTTGCTTTTCAGGGATTGAGGGAGGAGGCAATGGGATTGGGGCTGTATCCCCCATCACCTCCCTTGCACAGCATCAGCCTGATGATTGTTGCTTCCTGTCTCTCCTGTGCAGTCAGGGCAGCAATTACACAAATCAAGGCATCATTTCTTTCTGCTGGGGAGTGTATGGCAAAGATAACCCAGATCACCACCTGCTAAGATGCTGGTTGCATCTGGATTTTTGTAGCCTGCCGTGCAAATCGCAGTTCAAAGTGTTAGGACAGGTGCTACTGATGCTGCATTGAAAGACATTACCAGGGACATGACCTGGTCTTGCAGAGTTTTCCCTGGCCAGCAGATGGAATGCTGTCTCTGTGGCTGATGGATGTGGCTCTGCCTCTGGCCATGTTCTGACATGCAGATGTCACTGGTCCTGTCCCTGCTTATAGCCACTGGAATTTTTTATTTTGCTATGTAAGTACAGTCTGATTCTTTGTGGGAGAGATGTGAAAATCCTATATCCCTTTCAAAGCCTCAGTTCTACCCTAGCAGAATCTACTAAGCTACTTGTGTGTGAGATTTACTTCTAGGTAGAGAGGAGTTACAATTGACCATAAGAGACATTACCAAAATGTAATAGAGATAATATAGCAAAGAATTAATTTTTAGCCTGGATTAAAGACCTTTTTCTTACCATGACAGACACAAAGTAGCTATTCTTTAGTGGTGGAAGCAAAGGACCGTGGTGGTGAAACAGGAGGGAATGCTGCAACGTGTTCTTTAGAAATCAAGATTCTGGATGTCAATGACAATCTACCCGTTGTTGAAAGTCATACAGTAAGTACAATTATCACAATTTTGAGCATGTTCCTCCACCTGCCAGTATCCCATAATAAGACGCTGTGCAAAAATTTATTGCATTGATAAAATCAGGTAATCCATTACATCTTTTTAAAGAGTGGATTTTTTTTTTTTTTACCACAGTTTGAAGGAAGCATTGAAGAAAACAGGGCAAATGTGGAAATTATGCGGATAAAAGTATTTGACAGAGATGAAGAGTTTTCTGATAACTGGCTGGCAAACTTTACATTTGTTTCTGGCAACGAAGGTGGTTTTTTCCAAATTGTAACAGATGCCCAGACAAATGAAGGAATTTTGACCGTTGTGAAGGTAAGTATACATTTTAGAGATTCCACTTTAAATATTAGAATAATTTATCCACCTGTGCTGACAAATTGTGTTTATTCAGTCAATATGTAAAATATGTGGCTACTCCTCCTTTGCCATATTTTTAATGCATTCAATAATTCCATGCAAAATACTAATTTTGTCAAGTTTTTCCATTTGCATTCTGTGTGATCTCAAATATAACTAGTAGGTTATATTATACACTAGAAGTCCCCAGATTTTCCTTGCCCTTTGGGCAAAAGTACTAACATGCTCTAAACTTTCACATTTCTGCTGTCCTTGATGATCTCAGTATAAATTTGTTTCCCTTGGCCACTGATAATGTTGCAGGCAGCACCTGTTCCATAGGCTATGGGCTACAAGCTATTTTATGATTTTTTGTAAGCTGAAATGATGATGAAATTATTTTCCATTAGTGGAAATGTCTATTTTATGGTTTTCACTTTTCTTTAGTCCACAAGTACTGAAGATGCATAATGCCCTAAGTATCTTTTTTTTCCTGCTTGAGTTTCATTATCTGAAGACTGGTACATTAAATATTAAATACAAATAATAATAAATATTAAATATTAAATACAAATTTTGAGCATTGTTAAGTGAGTGATTTGGTTTTTTGAAAAAAAAACAAACATAAATTTGAAGCAGTCACGTAATTGAGGACTGTTTCACTAAAGGCATGTGCAGAATATATGGCTAGGACTCCTTTTAGATACCTTAAATTAGTTTAATTCAATAATATAAAGCCATTCCTATGGTGTCATCCATTAAAAATAAGCAAGAGTAACAGATTAAGAAACTTCCTTTCACTGTAACACCCTTACTGCTTAAATATTAATTAAATATTTACATCCTTATTATTTAAAAAAGGATGCTATTTAAATAGTACTAATTTAGTATTAAATGTACGCATGTTGTCTAGATACTGCATTCTGACAAGTTCTAAATTTTTTTTATTATTTTCTGTATTGCTCTAGGAGCTGGATTATGAAAAAATGCAAAGCCTAAACTTGGGTATTGTTGTTACAAACAAAGCAGAGTTCCACAAGTCAATTAAACACAGTTACAAAGCGAAAACAATTCCGATCAAAATTAAGGTGATCAATGTGCAGGAAGGTCCTGTGTTCCCTGGTGGCACAAAAATTATTGAAGCAAGTGAGAAACTGCAGATAAAACAAGTTATTGGACAGTATCAAGCCTATGATGAAGACACTGGAAAAATAGCAGAGCGCATTACGTAAGAATTTTTTTATAACCATCACAACTGAGCATGTCAGAAGTCATATCTGATTGTAAAAATTTGCATGTTGAACTGAAATAATTTCAAAGAGAATAATTTTCTACAAAGGATAATTCACACTTTAAACATCAGCATCATCTTTAATATTCTATTATGCAGAAAACAGATGATATTAAAATCCTCCTTCTTTTGTTATATATGGTGAAATGTGCTTGTGCTGAAGTTGTCTGTGTTTGCATGGTGTGTTTGTCATACCTGTCTACTTTTGAGAGTAGATTTACCAATCTGATTTCATTGTCTCCAGTAAAATTAGGAAGGAATATGCAAAAACATTTGTCAGCCAGGCAGAAAGGGTGTAACACAGATATGTCTGCATGTGTGTCCTTGGGTTTTGAATCACAACTTTTCAGCTAGATTAAATTTAACTACCACCATGGCCTTTACAAATGGTGCACAGCAGAGTTGCACACCCAGGGGTGGACTCCTTTCCCTCATGCCTGTAATACAGTTTTTCTAGGGTGTCTAATGCCCAGCTTTTGCTGGGAGCACAGATGGAGGGTGCTCAGCAGTGCAGCTCCATCTCCTGCTCCAGTCTCACTCCCTGATTGTATTTTCTATGATGCACCTCAAAGATCTAAATCTTTGATCTAGAGAGAAAAGCAGCTCTCAGCATTCAGGGTAGGTTTATGGTCGTAACCAATTACAGTGGCATGAGCATCAGACCTCAGACTGAGGGATTTGATCTATGTTTTAAATGACGAGTAAACATACTGTGGAGCTTCGTTTTCTACTGATGGCTGTTTTCCTCATTATAAATGTGTCCATCTGTGTGTGTTTTTCATCAGCTACATGAAAGGAAAAGATGCGGCAAACTGGATCACAGTAGACCCAGTGACAGGTGAAATCCGACTTGCTAAAAATCTTGATTACGAATCACCTCATGTAGTAAACGGCACCTACACTATCACCATGTTGGGTGTAACTACTGGTAAGTTGAGAGGGTTTTGTTTTCACACAAATCGGTTTGTTTGCCTGTCTGTAAGGGTAGTTGGTTTAACCTACCCATCTCTAAGGTTTGGCACCAAGTGCTGTCTCGGTATTCACAGGAGAGACACAGGCAACTCATTTTTTGGAATGGGTTCCCAAGGCATCTGTTTCTCCCCTTTGACTAGATGGAGGTGAACTTGTATAAAAAGTTTTCAAAGACAGGTCTGATAGGAAACTCTTGTCAAGGTGGGAATTGCCAATATCTCAATATGCCTATCATCAGACTTCATAGTCCTAAATTTTCATTTAATATCCTAATTCTTCATTTATAATCTGCATGTTACTGTGTAGCTATACAGAATTTCTTTTTTCAAGTTAAAGTAACAAAACAGCTTGCAACTTCTTCAGAATAACTTGGTCAATATATTTATTAATATTGGGAATGAAGCACAGCTCTCATAAGCTCTTTCAGCTTCCTTCAGCAATGTTGGTGTTTTGGAAAATGCTATGTTTTTTTTTATTTTAAGATAATTTTTTGTGCACAAATCAATTTAATTTTTCATATTTCAAATTCTTAGATTCCCCAAGGAAAACAGTCACTGGCACAGTCATCATTCAAGTTAAAGATGAGAATGATAACTGCCCAGTTATTGTGAACCCTGTGCAGACTGTGTGTTCAGATGCAAAATTAGTTGATGTTACAGCTCATGATTTGGATGGTTACCCATACAGTTATCCCTTCAGCTTTACTGTCATTGATGAGCCAGAAGGAACAGCAGCAAAATGGATAATTGCCTCTGGAAATGGTAAGAAAATGTATTTTTAATTACTCTCAGTTCTTAGAAGTCCTAAGGTCATAATTTATTAATTCCAGTCAAACTGACAGTTTGGCTGAGTGAGACCAATAAAACAGCCCTTTATATGGAGTCAGGCATTAGGACCATAATTTGTATTCTGCACCCTTCTCTCTAAAGGTTATAAAACTCCAGACATGTCCTGTGGGGTGTGTTACCTTCCCTCAGCTGGACCATGTTTGCTTATGTTTACATGTTTGACAGGAACAGGTGTTTTGTTCCTGATCTCTTTCACAGACATGTAATGTCTGTGACATGTAACAGATGAATCTCAAGACTGAAGCTGTTTCTTTGTAAGTTCAGCCTGTATCTATTCCGATTACATGGTTGTGTCTATACAGGTGATTGGGCTGTCTTCCATGCTAAGTCTCTGGTCATGTGAAATTTCACAATTATCTGAGGCTGAAAGTGGTCATGGCTGCTCACCAGCATGAATTACTTAATAAAAATAAAAGCACATGTACTTTAGCAGCAGCTAATTAAACTTAATTCCATTGCATTGGCTGGGCTTAACTGAAGGGGATTTGTTAGAAGACTGTAACAGTTGTATTTTAGTTAGTTAACAGGACTCAATTTTCTCTGCTCACTTCTTGTCCCTTTTTTTTTTTTTTTTTTCCTTTAACCTCCCTCCACCTCTGCCTCAGACACCAGCATACAGCTGGTACCACAAAACCTGAAGCCAGGCAGAACTGAAGTTCCCATGCTAATAAAGGATTTCCAAGGGGTCAGCTGTGCTCTGCCACAGACTCTGCAGCTGAGTGTTTGTGAGTGTGCAGATGATGGCGTGTGCCAGGAGAAGTTTGTTGGTGCGAAGTCAGTGGGTCTGGGACCAGCAGCGGTTGCACTCATCATCTTGGCATTTTTACTTTTGCTGCGTAAGTAATTGTTTCATATTATCTCAGAAGCACTGTAAATGTGGTCTGCAAATCATCGCGGAAGAAATAGTCCAGCTCCCAGGTTTTATCATCTTGATATATTCTGTGTAAACTCCTAGTCTTGCAGGAAGTCATGGCAGATCCCCAGCTAGTTCTGGTAACATCAGCATTTCAGCCTCAAAGCATTTCAAGCTGTGCATTTTAAAATTAATATAACAACTTTTAATATTTGTTTATGGTGCAGTAAATAACAAGTGGGGAAGCAGTGAGGAATGCTTTTGGTATTCTGAGATGTCCCCAGGTGAACTCTAACTCTTCCTACTCAAACCACAGCACATTCTCCATTCTCTTTTCTGTCACTGCAGATTCACTGCCTTGCTCAGAACAGCATGTGACATTGTTCTTTGGTGAGATAAAATAAAAGGAAAATAAGAATATTTGTAATTATGGTGTGGCCAGATATAGCAGTGCTGCATTTGAACTCTCAATAGCTTATTGCTTGTGCTGGCAGCACTCTAACTGTGATAAAACAAAGTTCACACCACAGGAATAATATTCTCTGCTTCTGAAACTGGGTTATTTTGAGTTCCCCAGGCAACGCTCTAGGCATGTCAAAGGAGTGGTGAGGTGGAACTTATATGATGCCATGTTGATATCTAGTAGTAAAAGAAGAGGAGTTCGAAGTTAGAAATGCTGAGGTTGTGCAGTGACAGCCAGGGCTTGGAACTGGTCTTTGAGATCTTTAATGAATTATAGCTACATATACATGTGTGGCCATCAGTCCCTAATGTGTTAGTTGTCAGTTTGCTCTCTAGGAAACTGGCCTCAGCTATATGCTTCTAGGAAATGCCTTGGATATTTAGGAACCTGTCTTCACTCATTGTCAGCCCTCATCCTGATCACAAGCTCCTTGAAAACACATTTGAGCATGGGAGCTGGCCAAACTTACAGTGGCTGTAAGTATGCTAAGGTCCTAATAGCCACACAGTTAATGGCAACCTTCTGTTTCCCTGTAGTTGTTCCACTGTTACTGCTGCTGTGTCCTGGTGGCTTGGGAGCAAAGGGATTTGGTGGAGCAAAGACGTTTGCTGAAATACCAGACCACAGTGAAGCCATGTTGCGTCAGTGGAACAGTGAAGGAGCAGCTCCTGAGGAGAAGGCATGTATCCCTAATAGCCCTTCTCTTTGATTTCTATCTCAGTGTTCAGTTTAGCACCTGGGGCCCCTTCCACACTACAGATGGATATTTCAAAGCTCTACAACAGATTTTAACAGCACATGAACATTAATTAAAATTAACCCTGTGAGGCTCAGCAAAGGATGTGTGGGAGATGACTTCTACCAAATAAATCCCAAAATATAGGGAAAGCAATCAAGCAAATGTTGATCATATCTGTGCAGAAGATATCTCATTGAACCAATAGAGAGTGAACCATTTGCATTTGCAAGCCTGGAATGCTCTGCACCCCTTTGGGAGCATGATAAAGCTGAAAAAAAATGGGTTGTAATGCTGAGCTTCCCGTCATTGGTTCAAAGTTTCAGACTGTTTTAAATTACTTCCCTCTGTATTTTCTTTTTTAAACAGAGGAAATTCCTTAGTAAAAAAGAAAAAGGCAGAAAAAGGTGCAAATCTGCAGAGGGAACAGTAAATGCCAAGAGAAATTTGCTCTTTGTTGTTATGCTACAAAACAGGCTTTTCGACAAGAGGGCATGACACTGACATGCTTTTGCACAATAACAGAAACAGGAGGAAAAAGTCTTTGATTTGGGGCCAATGCTCACACCAAATTCTTGTTAAAAGATAATTAACAAGGAAGCCAAACTGCTAGGAAAAAAGAAAGGGCCAGACAGCACCACAGAGATGGCAGGCAGCACATACTTCCCTGCTTTGTGTCTGAGGAAAACTGGGCAGTTTTTCTTGGAACAGCTGAGCTCCCTAGAGTTTTGCAAGCCTTTTTTTGATGGGAATTTTTGGTAGGGATTTTTTTTCATTTTCATTCCTCTGAGTTTCAAGAAAACAATGATCTGTAGAAACATTTCCATGAACCTTTTTGACAATACATTTATGGAAGCTGCACCCTGTTTTAGGAGGCCTTTTACTCTTTGCAGCAACATGTATAAGTGCAAATTCAAACAAGTCGTAAGACAGCACCCTCCCTGTTCCCACCCAGCCCCACTGCTGGTTTGGTGAGTTCCATGTGCTAGACAGCAAAGCTTTCATGTCACATCTTAATTTGTCTTATTTATGTAGCCAGTGCTAAGCTTCATTCCACCCACTGCACTTGGGAACTTGAAAGGAGGAACAACAACAGCAGCAGCAGCAGCAGGAGGAATGAGTGGAGAAGAAGCTCTAATAGGAGCAGGCAGCTCTGCCTCTCACGTAGGAGAGCATCACAACACTGTTACCAGGGAAAGATGGGAAGAGCAAAGGCGTCTTCTTTCTGCTGCTGACTATGGAGCCATGGCAGCTGAAGGCATGGCAGGTGTAGACGGCAAGGCAGTGGTGTCTGGAGGAGGAGTTGCTGTGGGAGCAGCAGGAGCCATGAATGAAGAATTCTTAAGAGACTACTTCAATGATGTAAGCATATAACCCAAAAATAACAGTATTTTGATGTTTACGCTTAGCATTGTAAAATATCATTCATGTTATGACAGACAGAGATGAGTAGATATGTAGATATAAACAGTCCTGATATTGTGCCTGTGGAGTTGGGGGCATTAAGGATTTTTGGATTAGCCACACATGTGGGGACTTGGAGTGTGACAATGCTCAGTCTTCTAGCACTGAATGCTTGCAAGATGTCACACAAATAGACCCTTCTCTCAAGGAAGGTGTTTGTGGATGGGATCCAGAATATTCAGCAATAGCAAAGGAGCTCCTTGTCCGGGAAAAAGCCCTGAGAAAGACTCTGTGATCTAAATCTCAGGGACTTAAGAATATGAAACTGGTCTCTAGGGAGGCACCTGTGACTCATCATGTGTCACAGCTCCAGAATTTACCACGGAGCAGGTTTTTGAAAGATAAGCCTAAGATGTCATACACCAGTGGGTGGGGCTGTATTTTCAAAGTAGCTGATGCAGTAAGTGGTGCTGACTTGTCTGTTTGCCCAGCAGCCTGGGTAAAGGGCCATTCATCAAAAGTGTATGAGGCATATGTTGCAATCCCCCTTTTTTTTTGAACCTAACCATTGGCCAGTAGGTTGTTCCTACTTGTTGAAACTGTTTCTCTTCATGTTACGCACATCCTTAGTCCTTTGGCTGGTGAGCTCCTTGTAGTGAAAGTCTGACTGCCATGCACCATCACCTGTACAAACAAAACGTCTTCACACCCTACAGCTGGCAGATGATGTGGTTTTGCAGGGGAGTAGCTGTGCAGATTTGAATCACCACCTCAGGCCAGGGAAGGATTTGAGCTTTAAGTGCTTGTATGTCTCAGAGTGCTCTAGCTACTGGTCTCATGGGTGAGCAGATGCAACAGTAGCAATCTTCTTTTCTTCCACTCTTTATGGCATACTTCAAGCATAACTGCCTGATGAAGTCTGCAAGAGGGAAGTCATACTCAGTATCCATACAACTTCTGGGAGGCTAAAATATCTCAGATTAGGAAGGAGGAAACAGACAAGTAACCAAACCAAATAGTTTCAGCTGCTGATTTTTGTGGCAGAATCTTGAGTTGTGTGCCTACTTCCAGGATCAAGTGCAGGTAAATATGCAGAGTCAAACTGGGTCTTGACACATAGCACATTGCACAGATGCCTGAGCTAATTTCCAGTCCAGAACTTCAAATGTGGCAGAAAGGTGGTTCTGAGGACCAGCCAGGAGACATATTACATAAAGCTGGTTCAGCAGGCCCAGAGGATTTGGCTGCCTTCACTTTTGGAACTGGAGCTGATGCAAACACATACACAGATATTTGTCCATGGCAGACACTGCTTTCAGGTGGAGCTGTAGCCAGAACTCATGAACCCTCCTTGTTGCCAGGTGGGCTGCATAGAGCCTAAGAATTTACATGATGAACTATTCAGCCATGCTTTACCAATCCATTCAACTTTTTGATTTGTTTCCTGTTGGTCATCTTGGATGTGATCCTGTAGTCTGTGCTAGTGAAAAGGGCCATGGTAGGTGATACCATGTCAGCATGTTCTCAGTAAATGTTTCTTTAAATGTTAGGATACACTCAGAAATGGTCTTGGTGTTCTCCCACACAAACCTAGTTAGAGGTGAAGTTCATTCACTGAACTAAAAACAATTTCTTCATGAATATAGAGGAGTATCACAAATGGCAGATTTACTGGAAGGAACAGCAGCAGGTGGTGATGGTATCCAAGGTTTTAAATATAATCTCAGATTTTTCTTCTCATCGAGTGTACTGTCAAGTTCAGACTAATTTTAAAAAAGAAAAAAAAAACCATGTTAGGTACTGCCCTTGCTTGGTTGACAGTTTCTGTGGGATCAGTTAAATTTTTTATTTCAATCTTTTTGTCCAAGCACTTATGATTTTTCAAAATTACTAAGTCTAGAACTGGCATTAATGAACTTTTGCTTGCTTTTATTTTCTGTCTGCAGAAAGCTGTCTCTTTTGCCGATGAAGATGAAGAGCAAGCTGCAAAAGACTGTCTCCTGGTTTATTCCCAGGGAGAATCAGGCTCCCCTCATGGCTCCGTTGGCTGCTGCAGCTTTATTGAGGGGGATCTTGATGACCATTTTCTTGATGATTTAGGAGACAAGTTTAAGACTCTAGCAGAAATATGTATAGGTAGACAGATCAACATGAAAGACGGTGGCTACAAGAATGAATCTGGTTTTGGTCTTAGTGAAGCAAAGTCAGAGTTCTTAGATCAGCAAAATGTTTCCACCTCTGAACAAGCCTTTGCCTCAGGCAGTGGCTTCCAGTCCATCCACACAGGCAGTGGCACAAGAGAAAGCACCCTGTCCAAGGAGGTGGTCACAGAAACAACCTTTTCATCAGCCCCTTCTGGGCAGCACAATGCCCGGCATCCCCCCACATGCCACGCAGAGAGCAGTGTCACCATGACGGAAACATCCTATTCTGTGGGGGCTCCTGCCCGCTCAGCCCCTCTCTTTTTAGATCCTCAGATTAAGGAGAACGTAGTGGTGACAGAGAGAGTGCTGGCACCTGCATCAAGCATTCAGGGGATGGTGAAAATCCCTGATCTGCCACACGGAGGTAACGTGGTGGTTACAGAAAGGATGGTGAAGTCGGCAGGTGCAGGGCCAGGAGCCCTGACAGTTCAGGATCTCCCTGACTCACAGTATGTCGTGGTGAGGGAGCGAGAGAGGGTGCTTGTGCCTGCTGCTGCAGAGCAGGGCTCACTTAGCTTCCCTGCTTCGACAGAGGAACGCAGCACGGTGCTGAATGAAAGGGTGGTGACAGCCTTGGGGCTGCAGAGCAGAGCTGAGCAGGCACCAGGTGCCAGCTCAGGAAGGCAAGAGCTTGCTCTAATCACAGACTCCCCACTTAACCTGATGGGCTCTGACTTACAAGGGACTCCTGCCAGTGCCACACTGAGCAAGTCTTCCAGGGTCACCAAACACAGCACAGTGCAGTACACTCGCTCATAGCCTGGCTCCTTGCTGGGATGGCAGTGTCTAGCACCCTTCTGTCTGTATGCATCCTGCCTCGGCCTTTTCCATGAGATCCAAATTTGCTGGAGCTTCCAGAATGACAAATGTATTCATTTGCACTAGTTTGTATAAATATGGATTATATGACCAGGAAGCAAGTAAGGAAATCTGGTGTTAAGTTATATTGGCAGGGATGCTTTTGAAGTGGAAAGATGTGGGAAATACTTTTTTTTTTGTTACTGCTTTTTATTGTACAGATAGTGTAAGAATACCACATAACCAGAGCTGCATAATTTTGGGAAAACAGGAAAAAAGTCTCCAATCTAGTGATGGATAGCAACCTGCAAAGCACAAGTAAAGTTTTTGAACTGCTATTGAGTGTATCTGAAGTCCTCCTGTGTGGGGAGTCAGTTTCTCATTGTGTGTTTGCCATTGTGTTGCGGGCCCTGGTAGCTCCCCCTGAGCCTTGCTAAAAAATCTTCCTGAGAAGCCCAGGCCACCAAAGCTAGTATGCCTGCAGTGGTGTGTTGATCTCCTGAAGGGATGTCACAATTTCAGGTTATCAGAATTTGTAACTTAAGCAATCAGTACTTGCATGTTACCACAGAAGTTAGAGATCAATTAGCAAAAAAGCTGAGAACTGCAATTTTTCATTACCTCAGTCTAAGAGTTCCATTACTTGGTGTGGGTCTATGCTGGCATGGACAAGTAAGCATTTGCATTGTTATATTTTCCACTTTATTTAACTTATGAGAATCAGCCAAGGCTTACTACCTTAGCCTTAGAGCCAGAGATTCAGCCAGTGGCTTTGTCAGCAAAGCTTATGGCCCTTGGACATCCATAGGATACGACTGACAGGTGGAATTTGGTATTTGGAATTGTGTCTGTCACCTCACAGACACAGAAATCAGCCTTGTGTGTGTGAGGTTCCACTAGTTTCAGTACCAGAGCTCGAGTGGCTGGTGAAGTGCTGTGTAATGAAAGCTTCCCTTGGCTGTGACAAGACAAGAGGAAGCTCCCTTTAGCTCTGCTTTGCTTTTCTTGAAGTTTATGTGGTAAAAGCAGGAGAGGGTACTGCACTGGTTGGCAGTATGTATATATGCACGTGTAGACATTTGTATGCCATTTGGAACATTCTGAAGTTAATTTTATACAAGAAAAAATGTCTTACACTGCATAAGTTTTCTTAGAGTAGAAGTATTTTCAATGAGGCAGAGGTAGGATTTTTATCTCCTACCTGTGAAATCAGCAAGATGGTCATAAGGTACTGCAAATCCTGTGGATCTGCAGAACTTTCAGGTTGTCTCCATCTCCTGGAATTTTCCTGCATCTGCAGCATTATTTTTTCCACTTATGTGTTCTACCTTTGACTAGAAATACTCTCTGTGTGTTTAGTTTTACTAATAGTAAAAGTTGCTTTAAGGACATAAGTACATAAACTTGGAACCATTGCTGTGCTCAACCATGACAGATGGGTCATTACATTAAGTGGAGTAGTATTTCCAGACATATCAGACTCCCTGCTTGGTTGGACCTATTGGTTATTTATCTCTTACACTATGTTTTTAAAATACATGTATTTATTTCTGAGTGAGCCTGCAGTTCCAAGTGGTCACCACTTTTCTGACTTTCTAATAGAGTGTCTTTGTGGGTTTATGTAGTCTTAAAATAAAGAATTCTACTGTATGTTTTTTAATTCTTCATTCAGACAGCTACCCCAGTGAAAACACTGGCTTTCCTACTGCAAATAAAGAGTTTAAAGATGGAATGAGGACTGAGATTTCCCAAACAGCCTCAAGGAATATCTGAAAGATGCAGATGTAAAAAAAGCTGGTGTCCTGCTATAACAAAGATTCTAACAAAAATTGAATTCTGCCTTAGTGGTTAAGTGCACTAAATTTTGTGACTCGATGCAAGAGAACAGCATCCCCTCTGTAGATTTACTGGGCTTTGAGGCAAACCCTTCAAATCAGTTTTATGCTTCCAGACAACATGGCATAAAACAGTCTCGCTTTTATAACGTGTTACAACATGGAGCTGTTAACATCCAGAAGAGATGTAAGAGTGTAATGTTTGTAAATAAACTTCTTTCACAGATCTGCTTGTCAAGAGTCTATTTAAATAGATTCCTTAAGAGCCTTAAGGAATCTATTCAAACCTTAAGAGTCTCCATTATTTGACTTAGTCTTGTACCAAGGCTGCAGCTGCTATCAGCATATCAGTGTGTGTTAATGCTGGCAGAACATCCATCAGATTAAGCCACTCACTTCTAATGGAGCTGTGTTTTGTAAACGATCGTGACTGGTCAGAGGAATGTACAGACCCAAATTAATGGAAGTTCCTGGTTAGCATCTGACTACTAGATAACCTCGAGAGGGGAACTAGCCACAGACATTTATCTTTGTGAGGGATGCCTTGTGACTTCAAAAGGAAAAGCAAAGTCTGTAATTTTCTTATCTAAGAATAATAGAGCACAGTTATGCTGAAATGCCAGCATGACAGGGATTATATCCATGCTGCTCTTCTGTGATTTATGTTACCTGTGAGTCCTTGCTAAGTATGTTGGATCTGTATGAGCCAGTCTGCCACAAGGATGCAGCCTGTGTCCTGCATACCCACAAGGAGGTATTTCTGTCATCCCTCAGTGTCTAGTTGGAGCTAGGTTAAACTTCGCAAGACAGTACAATTTTTTCCAGGCTCCATTCTTTCTTGGGAATTTGACCATGAGTCCACAGTCAAAGGTTTAAAGCTTGTCAGAGTTATCAGCAGTAAATCAGTTTTTAAAAAGTTAAGTAAATCAGCTGCTATCCCTGGAAGAGTAATGGTGTTTATGGCCCTGAGGCACCTCAAAAATGCATCACTCCTTCAGCATGTGCTGCAGTGGTGGAGCTGGTGGTGCTGGCTGTCTCCTCTGCTGGCCCCTTCTCCTCCCTGGTGGCCTTTGAGCTTCCAGGGAGTAAAAAGTGCATTGACAGCCACCTGTCCTTCTTACCTTATGTGCAGGAAGGTTGGCCTCCCTCTGCTGCTAGTGCAGGCTGTCAAAGCTCACAGAGTTTGCACAGTTTCAAGACAGCTTTTATTTTGGGGGTTACTGAACACACAGAAATGGCTTCCAGACACAGAAAAAGCTGAGAGCCCTATTAGGAAAACCTCCTTCCACAGGCATCTTTGGGTGGCTGCTGCTACAAAGATGGGATACTGGATGACAAGGACTTTTGGCATGAGCTGGGCTCTCCGGGCTTGCCTTGGCATCAAGTTGTAACAGGACAGCATTCACTTGAGGCAAAACGATGGATTGAAATGACTGGATGAGGAGAAGTGCTTTCCTTGAATAGACAGCACTTGCTGACTAAAAAAAACAAAATGATGGGGGGCAGAACCCTGATTGCTCAATAAGCCATGCCCAGTGCCCCAACCCTCTGATGCGACTGGTGAGAGTCCAGGAAACTTCCAGGAAAAAACTGCACAAATGTAACCAGTGTGATTCTTGAACCACACGAAGTGGTTGCAGTCGCCAGCTCTCAGTTTCCCACCCCAGGAGCCAGCACTGCAGGTGGTCATGTCTCCCCAGCACATCATATTGCTCAGCACCCTGGCAGCCAAAATTCAAATGCAGAGCTGGATACCTGTTCCCTATTGTGTGAGGCTGGTATGTGGGGAAATTGTCGTTTCTACAGCTACCCATTCATGGAGCCACGGATGCTATAATGAAAGGGGGCATAACAATGGGGCCCACAGGTGAAAATTGTATTTTTATGTAATTCTAAGCAAATTTTTTTACATGCCAAATGGTGAAACTTCCAACATTATGTTGTATTAGTTAGGGAAGCCCAGGGAGAGAGGGATTTACACTGTGCAGATGTTCCCTCTATTTAGTTCACTAGATAGATAGTGATGTGTATGGAGTGGTAGCTTTGGTTTTAAAATTGCCCTGAAACTCATTTCATTGAAATACGTAACAGAAGGTGTCTTCAGCCATGCAGTAGGAGTGCATTCAGAAGGTGCTGTGGACATGCTGGGAGAAAACCACATGGCAAAGTTTGTTCTACTGGGTGCTGGAGAAGCAGGAGAGTTTATAGCCTTCCCACTTCAGCTCCAAGCTGTTTTCTGACCTATGTTTCAAACGTTTCATCAGACTATTTCTCTTAGATCTGTTATCTGTTATTTGCTAGAGCAAATAGAACTCAGAGATAACACCTCACAATGCTTACGCAAAAAACAGCATTGATTCCCTGGCTAATGATTATCCAAGATCTTTGGAGCATGGCTGAAGTTTAAACCCTGAGGGAGACCAGAAGTTTCAGCAGACAGTGCTGGTACCAGCTGATGGGTCTCCCTCAGGCCTTGAATCCAGCCTCCCAAAAAGCTGTGGGACATGGGGTGGTGGCAGACTGAACTGCTGGGACTAGCTGAGTGGCAGTGACATGGCACTGCACAGCAGGAGGGCACAAACCTTGGGCTGGGTACCAGGGGCAGAGCTGTGACAACTCAGGACAACCTCCATCCCAGCTGAGTGTTTTTGCCACCTTTTCTTGCCACTCACTCTAGTCAAGCTGATGCCATCCTTGCTTCCCTAGATTTCTTTCCCTTGCAAAAAGCTCTCAGGTCCCTCTCTAAGGCAGATTCACAACAGTATTATTATTATTATTATTATTATTATCATTATAATTATCATTATTGTTTTTGTTATTATTGTTATTGTTATTATTGTTATTGTTATTGTTATTATTGTTATTGCTATTATTGTTATTCCCTAAATATTACCAATTACTTCTTTCTTAAAAATAAGACTAACAGCAGAGCTTTCAACTAGAAGGAATTATGAACTCACAGCATCAGCTTTTAGATGGAGCAAAATTGCATCTCCCAGGTGATGCATCTCACCTGATCTATCACACACCTGTCAGTGGCACAGCTAGTACTGATGGGCAGATTTACCCTGTGTGCCCTGTTTTGTTATTTATTATCATTTATCTGTTACTCTTCTGTAAACAGCAAGCTTGATTTTTGCAACAGCAGAAAGGACAGGAAGCCTCTCACATCCTTTTTGAGTCAGAACCCCAGGAGAAATACTGTCAAAATAATAGACCTGCTAATGAAAAGTTTCCTTGTCATCCATCCTACCGTGGTTTTGTGGGAAAGAGGTGGGAGAGATGAAATACAGATCCATACAAATATTTGATTTTTCATAGTCCTGGTAACTTGGAACTCCCTATACTCTGCCTTATTGGAATAAAGTATTTTCCCTAACACAAACAAACTAAACCATATCAGCCAGGGTTCTGTGTGAGGTTTTTCAGGCATCTCTTAAAGCAAGCAAGCAAATTAAACTTACTGTCAGATGGGTAAAAATATTCTTCAAATACCCTTTTCC